AAAGATCAAACGTACCGGAATAGATGAAATTTTGTATGATCGTCGTGTCGTCGTCGTTTCAATCTAAATATTTGGAAAAAAAACGAACAAAAAAAATAATATGTAGATCAATGAAAGAGAACCCACCAATTTAGAAACGGTTATCACGCCATCGTATTGTTCGTCGGATGATTATAAGTCTCTAATCCGGAGATTGACTTGAACCCTGACAAAAACATATATTCATAGCATAAAATCGTAAATAGAAGGTAGAAGACCACCTATTAATCGGTTGTAACCTTGTGCAAACTCGATTTAATTTTGACGAATGAAATGTTGGTGTGGTGTCAAAACTTTCTTGGGGAGACTCGAAGATGAGAGAGCTGAAGTCAGAGATAGGCAGAGAGGTTTACATGTGAATTAAGGTATGGAGTGCTAACGTGAACATGAACGTGAACGGCGGTGATTTTTGCACATAATAGCAATTAGATCGAGTTTTGGAAAAAAATATGGATCAGCGTGACATGACGCATATGGATACCATGCATGTCTATCTATTGTAAATCAAAAATTATATTATTGTTCCGCCTTATTTTTGAAACAGAAAGGAATTTTCCCTTAAATTTTAATATATTTTATAAGATAGTATCAGATATAGTAGTAAATCTAAAATAGTTGTTATTATTCCATATTTTTACGGAAAAAAGTAAATATTATTTTAAATAAACATGGATAACAATGAATAAATGGCAGTTTTACAAATATTTATTATTATGATAGTGATTTGCTTATTAAAATATGTAAATTTTCTTTTCTTTTTTTGTATTTATCGTCGAAAAATTTAGAAACCCTAAATCATGCACCGCCTCCTATTCAATATAAATACCTTGCTCATGGTATTCAATTTCAGATCATAACTAACCCTTGTTTTTTTTGTTCTTTTTTTTCAAACTTTTTTTTGCTTCTACCTAATTTTAATTTTTCTTTTTATTGTAGGGTGGATGTATGGAGGGGACGATGTGAACTGGTGTATGGAAAATTTGGACCTAATTCAATGAATAAACAGGTGATCTTATAGTTTATATGTACAAATTTGATTATTTTTTTTTGTATTTATGGTTTCACTATTTTCACCACTAATCAATTTTTATAATCAAAAAGTTTGGTTTCAACTTTTGAGAAGGTAATCATCGATGGTTTGGTATGTTTCTTTTTGTTGTAAAAAGATGAGGTACCTCCCGATTTTGTTGAGGTACATGTTCTTATTATTTTCAAATATGTCTTTTTTCAAAAGAAACACTCAACTTTTGATAACACAGTTGCCACAAAGTCAGAAAGATGACTTATTTCAGGGATGAATCTTCAGAGGAGGCTAATTTTTGTCGTTAATACAAG